CAGAGACATGTTGAGCTCTAGCTCATCTTATCAACCTAAAGATAAACCAGGTCTAGAATGTAAAATCCACTGTCTTCGGATCATCGTTGCTTCACCAGCGAACGCTTTGTTCTTCTTCAAAGAATCCAGCGTCGTTGGGTTCAGTTTCTGGAAATGACCAGCTGGTTCCTGGCGTCGTTGGGTTCATTGGCTCCATGAAGGCATCCTTATTTCATATAGTTTGGGATTCTGAATGGCTACCGAGAAAATCTACAGTCAACATGCCAGACAGAGGACAAAATTAATACAGAACTCCCACCGAAAAAGTACTCCAAATCCAGAAACAGATACAAAAAACTTCATAATGAAGATCGTCTAACAGCAGTGATGTTGTTAGTACAAGCATAGGGTACAAAACCAGAAAAAGAGAAGAATGATAACAGTAAATTATAGCATGAACAAGGAAAAAGAGATGGAATGTAAATTTGGCCAAAGAAATAAAAGCAAGGGATGAAACAGGTTAAACAAAACTAAGCCGAAGTTGTACATGGATAGCAGCAAAGCAGAGATCATTGTGGTTGTTGAGGCCTTTATCTTCTGTTCATTTTGAATAGATTAAAACCACGTCTCCAGTTATAGCCTTATAGGTATCTCCAGCTCGTGAAAGTCTGTATAAGCCTTTTTCTTCTTACTCAATGATCACCAACAACAGTAATTTCCTCTGATGCATTTCTTGGTTCGGAATTCTCTGTCCTTTGCAGTTTTGTGCAGTTGATAACTTCCCACACTGGTGGTACACAGTTCAGCAACTTAACGCCAATGGTTCTTAACTCTGGCAGTTCTGACAGATACAATTTGCTTACCTTCAATAAGTCAGAGTAGGCCGATTCCTCATTTCCAAACACACTCTGCAGCTTATCACAAAACTTTATTTTCACAGTTTCAAGTTCTTTTGGAAGCAGGGGTGAAGAGAAAACTGTTTCAAGCACTGGACAGTGGCATATATATAGATGCTTCAGCTTACTTGCACTTGCAAACTGCACACTCCCATCCGGTGCTTTACTCTGTCCAAATACTGTCTTCAGGATCCCACAAAATTTGATTTGGAGGGTTTCGAGGTTTTCCAGAACCTGATTAGAAGAGAAAACAGTTTCAAGCATAGGGCAGTAATCAATATACAATTCTTTCAGATTCTTGAAGCACTGCACCTTCCCCTCATAGAAACTCCTCAATTTTGGTAAGCTTGAAATCCGTAGGATCTCCAAGTTTTCTGCAAATTCCATTTTTTCCTCCGCTTCAAGTCTTTTCTCCGGTTTCAAATATGCATTTGGCACTTCATAAATGCTCTTCACCTCCGTACACCTCTCTAGCCAACAGCTTTTCATGCTCTTCAAGTTCTCTGAATGTAAATCAGAGATGAAACTCAAAAATTTATTTTCAACCAATGAGATGCGTTCAGCTTGCTTGAGAACATCTTCAATGCCAGTTGGATATTCATCAAATCCCTGGATTTCTAAACATTGCCTCTGTTCATGCTGTGGAAAATCTCTAATCTGGAAATGGACATCAGAGAAGTTGTGCTGATGATAATCAATGTCTTTGGCTTGCATTTTAGAAGAGTAAACAGAAAAGACTACTTGCTTGAAGAGCTTTGGAATATTATCCAGTAGACTGCGATCCTTCAATCGTTTGAAGAATCCTGTACCATGCACTATCAAGAAAGGCTTACCAGGAGGAGCATCCTTGTCAGGAATATTGCATTCGTCCCAGTCTAGGTCTCCTGGTAGCCGTTTTACTTTCTCCCACCCAAACTCTTGAAGAAGCTTCAAGTCTGGCAGATGAAGGCGCCTTAAAAGAACCATCTCTGAAAATTCATCTGGAAGATTTGTAATTCCAGTCCCTGAAAGTTCAAGCACCTCCAGCCCTGTAAGAGCTTTCCATGATTCCTTTTTGATTTCTGGACAACCATTTAGTGAAAGTCCTTTGAGGTTGGTGAGGATGGAAACGGATGGAAACTTCTCTGCCGTGATAGTGGATAGCCCCAAAACTTGAAGCTGAGTCAAATGATTCAAGGATCCAGTCTCGACTTCACTCAAATTGGTTGCACCAAATAGGTCCAGTGTCCGTAGTTTTGGTAAGGATTTCAAATCTGGAAGCTCATTTAGGTTCTTGCAGTTTCTTAGAACAAGGGCATGGAGTTTACTAGGCTTGAACAGAGATGGTAAGGAATTGATCTGAGTTCCAGAGAAGTTGAGTTTCTCAAGCTGGGTCATGTGCTCAAAGGAGTTATCTAGTATTTTTGACAGAGCTTCACAACCTGAAAGGTCAAGATCCTTCAGGTTTTGAAGTCCTCTTAAGCGAGGTAACTTTATGAGCTTCTTACAGCCTGATAGGCTGAGTTTCTGAAGTTGAGTGAGGCACTCAAAGTAGTTATCTGGTATTTCTGACACAGCTTCACAAGCTGAAATAACAAGATCCTCCAGGTTCTGAAGATCAGTTAAAAAAGGAAGGCTTTGCAGTGTCTTACAACCTGAGAGCTTAAATACTTTTAGTCCAGAAAGTCCTTTCATCTTTGGCGGAATTTCTAATGATGAACAGCCCTCAAGGAAAAGGTCCTCCAGCTTGTCAAGACCCTCAAGGGATGGAAGCTCTTTTACTTTGGTTTTTGAGAGGTTCAGATGGTGAAGGTTCTTGAGGTGGCTGAAGGATTTATCATCAAAAGACTCCAGACTGGAAGCATTGGAAAGATCAAGAGACTCTAAGCGTTCTGTCATGTGGGGAAGCATTTCGAGATTAAAGCAATCTTTCAGCTTAAGCACACGAGGGGTGCAGAAATGGGGAGGAAAAACTTTGACCTCAGTTTTTGATAGATCAAGAACTTCAAGGTTGTCCGTGCCCTGAAAGCAGTCATCGTGCATTTCCTTTATCTTTCTGATACCAGAAAGATCCAGAAATTTGAGACCAGATAAATCTTTTAGTAGGCGAAGGGAACCTAAGTTATCACATCCTTTTAATAGGAGCCGTGTAAGGTTTTTCAGGCATCTAACAATTGGCATTCTCTGGAGTTTGGTTCGGGATAAATTGAGAATTTGAAGTTCTTCAAGTGCTTGCAAACTCATGTCAGCCATCTTTTCCAGAGAAACACATTCAGAAAAATCAAGTACCTCAAGATGAGTGAGATCTCTTACTGATGGCACAGTTTGCAGGCAAGAACACCGTCTGAGAATAAGCCTGCGAAGTTCAGTTAAGTTGGAAAGAGTAGATGGCAATGACTCAATTTGTGGAAGTCGAGACAGGTTGAGGCTTTGCAGTCGAGCTATGTCCTGAAAGAGGTCATCCGGAATCTCCTTCAAGCAAGTAGCACCAGATATCTCAAGAGCTGTTAGTTGGTTGAGTTTTTTAACAAGATTGAAGCCCATCAATATATCACAGCGTCTGAGCACCAGAACCTGCACTTCTGCCAGGGCTTCATTCACTCTTTTTTCAGCCACTTCAGTGTTTGCCTTGGTTTCAGATTCGGAGAAAGGGTGACCTTGTATCATAGAATCAAAGATGCCTAGAACTTGAAGTTTGTGGGTTGCCCGAAAGAAAACTTTAGGAATTTCCTTGCATAGGCGGCTTCCATTAACCAGCAGGGTGGAAACCAGTTTCTCCTCTTCACCAACTCTCAGTGTTTTTATCATACCATCAGAAGGGGCAACCCTTCCAAAACCTTCCCACTTCTCAGTTTCAAACATAGAAGTAGCCAGTCTCAGGTTGGCTGTTGCAGAAACTCCATAGCAGCGTTCATCCTTGATGTTGAGGGTCAATCCTTCCATAAAAATGGCATTGTCATCCTGCATCCTTAGCATGCCAAAATCTATAAGCTTCATTAAGACATAGTGCCCCTGGTCGTAAGCCTTTTCCAAATGATCAACTGGATCAAAACAGCCTTCTAATATCCAATAAGTGATCAACTCATTATAATGAACACTACCAATGCTTTTGTGAAAGAAGTCCCGGCTAAGCCAAAAGCAGTCTATCATATGATTGGCTCTGAACTCCTCATGTTCGCTGAACTCCTCAATTACACAGTGTGACAATTGCTTCAGATCATTTGCTGCATTCAAACCAACCTCCAAGTCATCTTTTGTAAGTCCACTATGCTGCAACTCTGTCTGACCTTTAGCTGCTTCATTCAAGGCAGCTTCAAAATTGAAAACCCCATAATAACGTTCTGTAAATCCCCTCTGCTGTAATGTTTTTAGACCATTAACAGCTGCATTCAAGGCAGCCTTCAATTTTTCTGAGATTGTAGCTTCCTTTTCTGCAAGGCAATTTATTGCTCCTGATATCATAATAACATCAGCCGGTAAAACACCTTTTTCCCATCCTTTGATGGCCTTGAGTAATTCCAGGAAACCAGGAGAAGAAGAAACATTTTTCCCAACACGATCTTTTAACAATTTTGATGCCTCCTTCCCCAGAAGAGGTTCGATAGTGTTTACTCTTGTTCTTTCAGTACTACCAGCTTTCCCCAAAAGGGGTTCAATAATATTAACTGTAGTATCCTCACTTTTCCTTCTTGCTATCAGAACCTTGGAATAATCCCAGCCAAGAACTTCTTCCAAAAGCAACTGGCAATCAGATTTTTTCATTTCATTCCTTTCACCGTTGGCCTGAACTGACAACAGGTCAGATCTTTCCTTTTTATTTCCTTCATCCAGAACCCACAGAAGATACTTCTTGCTAGTTGTAGCCTTTTCTTCATGCTTTTCTCGTATTTTCTTCAAGCCTACCACAATCTCGTCTTCCATTTTGTCTTCCTCTGAATTTTCCTCCTCTTTCTTAACGTCGGCATAATCTTCCCACTCATCTGTACTGATGAGGAGAGAGAACTGACGGGCAATGTCAGCATAAAGCGAATCCCTATCATGCTTTTGGTCTAAAAGAATCCAAACGGTCGCATAGCATGATCCTCTCTTTACTGCAGCCTCACTTACTGCCTTTGCCATCCATGTTTTCCCCACTCCAGCTTCCCCAGTGAGAAAAATTGTTTTTACCACACGATCTTCCAATTGTTCCAGGATCTTATCCACAGCACCTTCGGTCTTCGTTGTCATTCTGGTGCAGAAAATAGCAAATTAGAATTTTGATGTGATCAATCACATTTTAACAAGAAACATACCCATCAGCAGACTGAAATACATAAAACAAAATAAAAAGTATTACATAATTGGAGCTCAGTTGAGAGATAACAAACACACACAGCCCATAAAACATCGCACCATTATTGCGAGACTTATCTGTTTTGTAATACAAACTATTCCGAAATATAAAACAGAAACTTCATTATTAGGGTCTATCCCATTCAATGATTAGTGATGTGTAGTCCGAACTACACAAGACTCACAATTATTGCATCTTTTTCAATTTTTCTGGCCAACGAAAAGGGCTATAGACCCATGGCTATGCTTACGTCTACCATTAAATTTGTGAAGACTATTCAAAAATAATTAATAATTAATAAAATACTTAATATTTATTATTGAATAAATTAAAATCAATTCAAAAATAGATATTTACAAAATCATAATCAATTGTAAAGAAAAAAATTATAAATTAATAAAATTATCATTAGAATTAGTGACTTTAACAAAATTTTTAGCAACAATAACCTTAAAAAAGAAGAAGCTATAATCAAGATCAAAGTAGCTTACAGACCCAAACACACAGTTATTGTCTCTTTGATCAACTACATTATACGTATATTGAAATCGAATTAAAGCATGCATTAAAATCATTGTTTTTGCTAAACAATCATTGTAAATTAGATCAAGAACAGAATCAAGCGTACTACAAATCTGTTAATAACTAAATAATAATTTTTTTTTTCTTATCCTGATTTTTACAAAAGGAAGCATTGGATATGGTGGCGAAAAAGTAAACTAGAGAGGATGCAATGAGATTTTCCTACCCAGAAGGTGCTTCTTCTATAATCTCGTTCTGGGTGGGC